TTTCCAGCTTTCACATGTCTATGTGGTGACTGAAAACACCATAGCATGGGTTAGGTGTACCTTAGTCTTCAAAGAGACATCTTTACTCTTCAGCATTTTAAAGAGATCTTTTGTAGTAGATTTGCCCAATGCAATATGTCCTCTAATTTCTTCACTACTACTTCCACAGTTGTTCATTGTGGAAACAAATGATATGAAATCTTTGACAACTTCAATCTTTTCTCCATTTTTCTTGATGTTGCCTACTGGTCCAGTTGTGAGGATTTTTATTTTCTTTATATTAAGGTGTAATCCATACTGAAGACTGTAGCCTTCAATCTTCATTAGTAAGTACTTCCATACTTCTTCACTTTCAGGAGGCAAGGTTGTGTCTTCTGCATATCAGGCTGTTAATGAGTCTTCCTCCAATCCTGATGCCATGTTCTTCTTCACATAATTCACCTTCTAGGATTATTTGTTCAGTATACAGATTGAATAAGTATGGTGAAAGGGTACAGCTCCCTTCCTGATTTTAAACCATGAAATATCCCTGAATAACAGTCTCCTGGTTTGTGCACAGGTTCCTCATGAGCACAATTAAGTTGCAATTCCCATTCTTCTCAATCTTATCCATAATTTGTTATGACCTATACAGTTGAATTCCTTTGCATGGTCAATAAAACACAAGTAGACATCTTTCTGGTATTTGCTTTCAGCCAAGATCCGTCTGAGATCAGCAATGATACCCTCGTTCCACAGCCTCTTCTGAATCCAGCTAACATTTCTGGAAGTTCCCTATCAATATGTTGCTCTATTTTTGAATTCTCTTCAGCAAGATTTTACTTGCATGTGATGTTAATAATATTGATAATTTCCACATTTTTGGGGATCACTTTTCTTTGCAATGGTTACAAATATGGATCTCTTCCAGTCAGTTGGCCAGGGAGCTGTCTTCCAAATTTCTTGGCATAGCTGAGTGAGTGCCTCTAGCGCAGCACCCATTTGTTGAAACATCTCAATAGGTGTTCTGTCAATTCCTGGAACTCTGATTTTTTGCCATTTTCTTCAGCGCAGCTTTGACTTTTTCCTTCAATACCATAGGTTCTTGATCATATGGCACCTCTTCAAATGGATGAACATTGACCAATTCTTTTTGATACAGTGACTCTATGCATTCCTTCCATCTTCTTTTGATGTTTCCTGCATAATTCAATATTTTGCCCACAGAAGCTTTCAATATTGCAACTCGTGGCTTAAATTTTTTCCTCAGTTCTTTCAGCTTGAGACATGTCAAGCATATTCTTCCCTCTTGGTTTTCTAACTCCATGTCTTTGCACATTTCATTATAATAATTGTCTTTGTCTTATCGAGCTGCTCTTTGAAATCTTCTGTTCAGCTCTTTTATCTTGTCATTTCTTCTGTTTGCTTTAGCTACTCTCCATTCAAGAGCAAGTTTCAGAGTCTATATTCTGACATTCATTTTGGTCTTTATTTCCTTCCTGTTTTTTTTAATTACCTTTTGCTTTCTTTATGGATGATGTCCTTATGTCATCCCACAATTCCTTTGGTTTTCCACCATTAGTATTCAATACATCAAATCTATTCTTTAGATGATCTCTAAATTTGGGTGGGATATAATCAAGGTCATATTTTCACTCCTGTGAACTTGTTTTAATAGTCTTCAGCTTCAACTTAAACTTGTATATGAGAAGTTGATGGTCTGTTTCAAAGTGAGCTCCTGACCTTGTTTTGGCTGTAGATAATGAGCTTCTCCATCACCTCTTTGCACAGATGTACTCGATCTGATTCCTGTGTACTCCATCTGGAGAAGTCTACGTGTATAGCCACCATTTTTGTTGTTGAAAAAAGGTATTTGCAGTAAGTTGTTGCTCTTGCAAATTTCTATCATGTTATCTTCAGCATCATTTCTATAACCAATGCCATATTTCCCAACTACTGGTGATTCTTCTTCATTTCCAACTTTTGTATTCCAATCACCAGTTTTAATCAGCATATTTTGATTGCATATTTGGTCAATTTCAGACTGCAGAAGTTGGTAAAAATTTTCAGTGTCCTCGGTTTTGGTGGATGATGTGTACATTTGAATAATAATATTATTAATTGATCTTCCTTGTAGGCTTATGGATATTAACCTATCACTGACAGCATTGTGCTTCAGGATAGATCTTGAAACATTCTGTATGAAAAGAAATGCCACACCTTTCCTTCAATTTGTCATCCCCAGCATAGTAGTTCATATGATTGTCTGATTTAAAATTGTCAAAACCAGTCAAAATGTTTCAGCTCACTAATCTCTGGTGGTGTAGTGCCTAAGGAATTTGACTACTAAGCAGATGATTGTCAGTTCAAACCCACCAGCCACTCTGTGGAAGGAAGACTGAGCAATCTACTTCCATAAAGATTTACCACCTCGGAAACCTGAAGGGGGTCATTATGAGTCAGAATCAACTCCATGGTAGTGAGTTGCTTTTTTTTTTTTAATGCCAAGGATATCAATCTTTATGTGTTCCATTTCATTTCGACAACTTCCAATTTTCCTAGATTCATATTTCATACATTCCATGTTCTGATTATTAAGTCCAATTATTTCTAAACTACACTAAGAAAATTCGATATAAGGGATAATTCAAAAATAAGTATATACCAAAAAGATTTTGATATGTGTTACTACAAACATCTGAGTTTTAGGCTTTTGAGGGTAAAACCAAATCAACTACTGTCAAGTCCATTACAATTCATAGTGGTCTCATGTGTTTCAGAGTAGAACTGTACCCCATGGAGCTTTCAGTGGCTGAGTTTTCAGAAGTAGATTACTAGGCCCTTCTTCTGAAATGCTCAGGATGGATTTGATTCTGCCTTTCAGTTAGCAAGGGAAAATGTTTCTACTATCCAAGAAAGCATCAAATTTGTTCCACATGGGGAAGCATAACACATTTTAAGAATTTGACACCATGTATAAGTCAAGCTGTCATTTGAACAGAACAAGAGGATATTGCATGGTTTAAAATCAGGCAGGGAGTGCCTCTGGGTTGTATTTTTTCACCATTCTTATTCAATCTGTATGCTGAGCAAATAATCTGAGAAGCTGGACTACATGAAGAAGATCATGCCACCAGGATTGGAGGAAGACTAGTTAACAACCTCTGATACTCATACAACACAACATTGTTTGCTGAAAGTGAGGATGACTTGAAGCACTTACTGATGGAGATTAAAGACTACAGTCTGTAGTGTGGATTACCTCTCAACATAAAGAAAACCAAAATCCTCACAACTGGACCAACATGCAGCATCACAATAAATGGAGAAAAGATTGAAGTTGTTAAAGATTTCATATTATTTGTTTCCACAATTGACACCAATGGTAGCAGCAGTGGAGACATCAGACACCATGTTGCACTGGGCAAATCTGCTGCAACAGAACTCTTTAAAGTGCTGAATAGCAAGTAGGTCTCTAGAAGACTAAGGTGTGCCTGAACCAAGCCATGATATTTTCAGTAGCCTCATATGCATATGAAAGCTGAACAATGAATAAGGAAGACCCAAGAAAAGTTGATGCTTTTGCATTGTGCTGTTGGCAAAGAATGCTGAAAGTACCATGGACTGCTAAAAGAACTAACAAATCTGTCCTGGAAGAAGTGCAGCCAGAATGCTTCTTGGAAACGAGAATAGCCAGACTTCATCTTACCTATTTTGGTCATGTTGTCAGAAGGGATCATTCCCTGGAGAAGGATATCATGGTTGGTAAAGTGGAGGGTCAATGAAAAAGGGGAAGGACCTCAACAAGATGATTTACTCAGTGGCTGCTACGATGGGCTCAGATGTGGCAAGGATTGTGAAGCTGGCATAGGACCCGGCAGTGTTTCATTCTGTTGTTCATGGGGTTGCTATGAGTCAGAGCCAACTCAATGGCACCTAACAACAACAACGTAAGTGTTGTTATATTAGTATATTAGTATATTCAAACATATTTAAAATAATAAGTTTGTAAATTACTTCAAAATCTATGTAGGTGAAAATGATAACAATATTCTAAATCAGAAATATCTCTGAAAATATGATCAAATCATCTATTAAATTTTCTCTTGTAACTTCTGTAGCTCCTAGCTTAAAAGAATGCTATATCATTATGTCCTTTTAGGGCTATTGGATTAGAAGTCTCTAAATATATATATATATATATATATATATATATATATATATATAAAATATATAAACTATGTACTAGGGAAGAAAGATTTCTTTCTGAGGGTGATGGCTTTCAGGGTATACCAGGATGAGTAAGAAACTATTGAATTGTACAAAGATATTTTTGTATGTTCTGCAAAATCAAGAATATAATATCACTTTTTCTAAGAGTAGTTTAAAATTATCAGCAAGCCCCAACTTTTACCTCCTATCTCATTACAAACAAGAATTTTTATAAAGTTCAATATTTTATTACCAGCCCAAACACAATCTAACAACCCAAATGTGTGATAGTTCATTTACTTATTTTTATACAAATAAAATGCACTTTCTATATTTTTGCCAACCGCATCCTCATTCCACAAGCTATTTTCATAAGTGTGCTATGCCAATTTTTGTATATGTTTCTGTCAGAAAAAAAAAAAAAATTCTTAACATGCTTAGAAAGTACTTCACTGCAGGAGGATGCTGTTGGCAATAGAAGTAGAAGTAGTATTATTTTTGTAAAAACATGGTAATTCCTCCCATCCTGCTATATTACTTGAGACTAAAACAAGACTTTATATGACCTGAGTTTTATGTGCCTAGTAATATCATGACAGTGCTTCCAAAACTGCTCATCCTGAGTTCTCACAATGGTGAGAGAATAATGTGATACTAGCCTTCTTTGAAGAGTGGTACATGCTGCAGTTCTAACAAATGAAAAATATTAACATCTTAAAATTCTATTTGAGGCATAACTGACTTGATTTGGAATAGAACTATGCAGTGAAGGCAAAAATCATAGTAGCCAAAGAATATAATTCTCTTACTCCACTGCCACAACAACAGCATCAAGTCTGTTTGATGTCCATCTATTCAGAAGGTCATAAGCAGTCAACTCTGAAAGGGAAAGATAAAGTTAAAAGTGTTCCCTGTAACTCAGAAACAACAGAAATGACATGTAGCTATGAACTTGGAAAATAATGCCTGTGAGTGTTACCTAGTAACATTTATTATCCACCCATTCAGAGGTACTTGAGTCAGCATGACACACTCTGCCCATCTTTAGCAATCTGGGAAATTTCCTCCTGGATAAAAAGATGACTTTGCTAATTGGTGCTTTGGGGTGGGGAAGCTAGGTTCTGATATTCTTTTGTCACCTGCTGTCTGAAAATATTGTGGCCATAGTGCACTCTACTCTACTCCTGCAGGCAGCATGGTTCACAGGGAGGAGAAAGAGTCAGCAGGGCCAGTCACCGTAGCTTGGTAAATTTGTTGCCATGGAATGGATCCTGACTCATAGTGACCCTATGGGACAGAGTCAATCTGCTCTATAGAGTTTGCAAGGGTTTAACTCTTTACGGAAGCAGACTACCACATTTTTCTCCCATGGAGTGGCTGGTGGGTTCAAACAGAACTTTAGGTTTCTAGCCAGCTGAGCACTTAATCTTTGTGCCACTAAGGCTCATCTCCCTAACTCAAAAAGAACATTTCAACAACATATAGACACACACTCTCCAAAGTCTTCATCAGCATTAAGGTTTGTTTTGACTTTCATTTACCTGAATCCTATGTATATATCTCAATTGGTTTGGAACTCAGGGGAGAAAGAGATAATATGTATTAAGTCATTAAAATAAAACATTCACTAACATAGTTCTTCAACAACCTACATTTTCTTGGAATATGACCATTATGAGATGATTCATTAACCTTGTCATTAAGGCAGAGTCTAAGGAACAGCATCTAAATTTTGAGAGCACTCTTAGTAAATTGGTATGGAAATGTAAACATGCATATCCATCTTGGCATGCTTAGCTCACGTGTGCACGTGCACACACACACACACACACATACACACACACATCTTTCCCCATGTACTCACAAGTCTAATTTACCAGGAAGCTGACTATAAAGCCTGACTGTTTACAAAACCTGGAAAAATTCTCTGACATAAAAGAACCACAGCTTCCTAGAAATTCAGAGAACTCAAGAGTTGTGATCAAATTCTAGACTTTCCTATGGTGTCCCTTGCAAATTAGTAAAACTTAAAATTAAAATTTATTTAAGTACTAATATAGTGTAAAAAGGATTTCTGGTGCCCTAGTGCCTAAGGCATTTGACTGCTTACAAGAAGGCTGGTGGTTCAAGCCCAGCAGCCATTCCTCAGAAGGAAGATTGGCCAATCTACTTCTGTAGTGATACTGTCTTGGAAACAAACCCAAGGAGGAGTCGCTATGAGTCAGATCCTACTCCACAGCAATGAGTTTTTGTTTTTTTTTTTTAATAGTGAAAAAACATTAAGAAGAAAAAAAGTTAATAACTAGTCTTTTAGGTAGAAAGAATAATGTTTTGGTTAGAGTTTGAGTTGATAATTTGTAAGAATATGTGGAGACAAAGCCAGGACAGTGAAAGAATCCTGGGGAACAAGGACATTTAAGAAGCATAAATCTGAATAATCTATAATCTTGCTTGTTATTTGTTTGATGGACGAAGGGGGTAGATAACAATCAGTGGCAGAAAGAAGCCCAGGAGAAATTTTGTCATAAAAAAACAATGAGAGAAGCAACAAGTGTCAAGGAAGGACAAAATGATGTTTATCAAATGAAGAAGATTATAAAGCATGAAGAATTAAATAAAGGAACACAAGGGAATAGGGAAGGACTAGAGCCAACAGTTTATAAAAATAAGTTTTGTTGTAGGGGAAAACCTCTAAAACCTTCAATAAAAATTCAGAGGATTTATTCAGCATTAGAGAGCTGTTTGAAAGGGAAATTATCAGCTCACATAATTGAAAACATGACAATTTCAGTGAGAGGTTTCCAAACAGGGACTGATAGAGGGCAACAAAGAGATTACAATAAAATCATTGACTGGTTAGTCCTTGATTGAGGACACAAAAGGGAGGGATAGACTTAGGGGAAGGCTTCCGTTGGATACAAGTGCTTAGATATGCTTAGGCAAGCTACAGAGATTTACAGTCATAGTCACAGGATGCTTACAATGCATATTTTCTGGAACAGGTTATGAAAATATCTAGGTTGATGCAAAACATTTATCAGGGCCAGAGCTAGTGAAAAGTATTAACACCAAGGTTTCTTTCTTAGAAACTGCTTGTGTAAGCAAATCTTGGTTGCCTGGGAACCTTAGATAATGCATTGGTTGCCTATGGTTTCTTCTTTAGACTTCATTTCTATATACTTTTTATGAAAGGAATATTTCTTAAGGCCATTTTACCCTAATACACCTTTGTTAAAAAAAACCTTCCTTGGCGTGCATTCCATCCACGTCCTGGCTTGACTGCAGGGAAAACGTTCCCTTAGGTATTATGGTTGTTTAACCAGGTAAGGACCCCAAGAGCAAGCCTTTGTGAAAATTCTGATCTAATTTTCCTGAAAGCAGCATAAACCTAGTTTTAATTCAGGCAACTTACTTTTGAATAAAGGTTTAGAAAAATCTCTTTTATAATCCGAAAGTAAAGGAAAATGATAAAGGACTAACTAGAGAGATGGATTCAGGATGAAATATTTTTGTTTGTTTGATTGATTTATCTGTATTTTTTTATATATATGAATGTGATCATTAAATATTCAAGAGTCAATTCAAAAACTAAAACATGTTTGACATAGAGAATGTCAGAGAGATGGTGACAATATATCTAGGATAAGAGCCATATGATCCTAACAAAAGTACCAAGTCCAATCTTATCAAAAGCGGAGATAGCTTGTCCTCTGAGAGTTTTGGAAGGAAATGAAATAAAGATTTTGTAAAATTCTTAAATTAATAGAAGGGAAGGGTAGAGCTGGGGATGAAAACTGCAAAACTTTGAGATCATATGATTCCTCATATTCTCTGCATTCACTGAAATAATAATAAGCATGATCTCTAGATGAGTGAGAAGGGCTTAGTGTCCTGTAGTGACCCAGATTCAGAAGAGCCAATGAGAAGAACAAGAGAGAAAGCTGATCCATTATATCTGATCATGTTACAGGGTTTCTGAGTCACAGTGTGGGCAGGCGTGGCATTAGTTGCCAAAGGCAGTCTAGTCTGGTCTAACGTGTTCTTGGACCAGTAACATCAGCATCAACTGGGAATTGACTTGCAAAGACAGTTCTCAGACCCCACCACAGAATTACTGAAATTCTATAGTGGGGCCCTACTATCTGTGCTTTAACAATCCTTCCAACTTATTCTGATGCACTTAAATTTGAGAACCACTGGCTTAAGACTTATACCTTACTGTCAGTAGAAAGCAACTGTTCCCTTTCCTCACCTGTAAGAGCATATGCTCCAGTTCATTGTTTCAGGTTCTTTCAAAATCTTAGATGAAAAAGAACAATCTTTGTAAGGACTCCCTGAAGGGTTTGTCAAGCACTTACTTCCTAAGTTATTATAAAATTCAACCCTGAGTCACACCACCCCAGAGAATTCTTTACTGCATCATATCCCCTACTGCTAGAATAGCTTTTATTAATTATATGTCTTGGTGTCATGCTATCAGCCCATACTTATATATATGTAAAAGGCTGATATATAAAAATCAATAGCTTACTGTAAGGATGGGTTTTAAGAAGTTCATTATATAATAGAAAGTCTTTATATAAGGCCAAAGAGCTGGATGTCTCCTCTCAGTATAAGAAAGAATCCAGTTTTGTATTTTTCTTACTTGTTTGTTGACCTATTTTTATTTGTTTGTTTTGCTTTTACTCTATTGACTGAAAAATGAATAAAACACATATGGGAGAAGATTCCTGTTTCCCACTTGTCCTCTACTTTTGCCTCCTTTCTTCCCTTTTATTGTTGTCTACCATTCTACCCTGTGAACCATGACTAACTGACAAATCATAAGGCTTGCAAAAACATTACTTTTCTGATGTTTTTCAGGATTGCATTAATGAAACTAAGCAAGTAGCACAAGAATAGGACAGACCTCCAACCACAAGTTGTGGTTGAATACTGCTGCCTAAATCAAACTGCAAAACTGCCTCAGTTTTCCCCATCCTATAAAAAAGTCACAGTCCTTCTCCTGTTGGGAGCTCTGTGATCTTCAGATGCTCCCTGATGCACATCAGCTGAATAAAGTCTTTAACTGCTATTTAAGTCACTTAAATCATTTTCTTTTGACAAGTCAACATGAAATTTTGGAACTGATTATCGTTATGTTCTTCTCACAGTATCAATTGGTATAAGAAATATAAAGAAGAAAACTAGAAAGCCAAAATTACAAGCTACCCTATTTCCCTTTTCAGCATTTTGTATATCAATCTGAGTCTATGCGCCTCTCAATTTCCATGCTTATTTCCTCTTTGCCTAAAAGGGTGCAAAAAGAAAAAGATTCATTTGTTATCTATTCATCTTTCTCCAATTCTATTTATTTGTTTGATTTTGTTATTTAGATTAAGCAGAACAGTGGCTCACCATATACTACTATCATCCCATGATGGAGTTTTCATAAAGGTAAATTTATTTATCTTTTTGTTTTGAATTAGCTATAAATATCTCTTAGAATCATCACCATAGATAAGGGGGGAAACTAAACTTCACAGGAATCCTTTATTATTCATAAAGCTATTTTGTGTTTTCCTTGGCTGCTAACCAGAAGGCTAGTGGTTCAAACCCACTAGCTGATCTGCAGGAGGAAGGTGAGGCAATCTACTCCTGTAAAGATTTACAGCCTTGGAAATGCTGTTGGGGTTGCTACCAGTCAGATTTGACTCAATGGCAATGTTTGATTTTGGTTTGGTTTTAGAGTCAATGTTATCGAAGCATTTTGAGTTTGACCACACTTAACATTGTTGCTGTCAGTAACAACAAACTTGTTCTTGCAAAAACCAAAAGCATATGCTTTCGATTTATCATTTAAACATCTGCTTCACTTAACAGTTTCTGCTCCTGAATATATTCTGATCTCGATGAAAAAAGTGTTAGTACTTGACATACTCATAGCATAGTTTAATTTGATGCATATTGTTTCAATATGAAAGCTGGGGAGAAGAAAATGTTTACCAAAAAACAAAACAGAAAAAACCTGAATTCACATTCTCCATGATATTATTTGCCAAAGAGTATGTCAACAAACACATATCTATATCTAGGGTTATCTATAAGGAGCTGTGGTGGTGTAGTGGTTAGGCGCTTGGCTGCTAACCAAAAGATTGGTGGTTCAAACCCATCAGCTACTCCACGGAAGAAATATGAGGCAGTCTGCTTCAGTAAAGAAGCCTTGGAAACCCAGTGGGGGGTTCTATGAGTTGAGGGTTATCTATCTATCTAGCTGTCTATCTACCTGTATATCTATCATTATCTAATATCTAATATTTATACCTATAATTAAATTAGGAGCTCTGGTGATATAATGCATAAGGCATTTGACTGCTAACCAGAAGGTTGGTGGTTCAAACCCATCAGCCACTCTGTGGAAAGTAGACTGGGCAATCTACTTCCATAAAGATTTACCACCTCAGAAACCCAAAAGGGATTGTTATAAGTTGGAATTGACTCAATAGCAGTGAGTTTTTTTTTTTTTTTAATAATTGCATTTATATAAATATACATATTTATAGAAAATATTGTTTATATCAAAAACATACAACCAGTTATACATTTTTCTTATGATATGATGAACTTACTGAAACTTCCAAAACAAAAGGCACCACCATGAAAATAAATTACAGCTCGTCTCAGTGTTTCTGACTTCCTTTTAGGCAAGTACAAGCGTACTGGAATGTCAATAAATGTGATATCGGTCACTGTAAGATGTTCATCGGAAAGTGGTTGGGTATAGTCCAGTGTGTACAACATGGAAATAAATTCTTCAAATCTCATAATACCTATATTTTCAAGAAACAAAGCCTGTAGGCAAAACAAAAGAAAAATTAAACAATTTTTAAATACCATCAAATTCATATAAAGAGAAAATAGAAAAGTAAAGAAGAAAACATAAACAAAATAAATGAAAACAAACTGAACATTTTATGAAAATTATTTTCAGTGTTGTATAGATCTAGTGCATAATTGTCACATTTGAAAATCTCAGATGTTCAGTATTTTAGATGAAGATGTTATCTTATTCAAAAGACATCAATTTGCTAGCAGTTTCTTCTATTCCTGTTCTACTTATTTCTTGATTCTAAAGTTTTATTTGAAAATTTTCTGGTATTGTAATTGTTTTTCTTTTTAGGTAGCCATGTTGCTATACTATCCTTTTTTAATTCTCATTGTTCATCTTATTTAAACCAAAATTTTAAGTATCATTTTAAAACAACATTACAGATGATCTGAATTTCCTGGTTCTCAACTTTAGATAAATTTATTTTATTCCTGGAGGGTGTGTGGGGCATATTTGATGCCATTGGGGGTAAAAAAAAAAAAAAAAAAGAAAGAAAGAAAGAAAACTCTCCCTGTTATTTCTGACCGTTTTCTCTAGGATCTTTTTTTCTCTGAATAAGAGCATATTAAAAAAAAAAAAAAATTCCCATCAAAGCAATTCCTACTCATGGTGGCCGGGTATATGACAGAGGAGAATCCTGCCCTACACAGTTTTCACGATTGTGACCTCTCAGAAGCAGATGGCCAGGCTTTTTTTCCAAGGCACCTCTGGGTGGATGCAAACTGTCAGACAACTTTTCAGTTATTAGTAAAGCACTTAAGTAGGGACTCTAACAGCACTTTAAGCTGACTTTATTACTACAATTATTCTCAGGAATTTAAGGCCCTGGTAGCACAATGGTTAAGTGCCCAGCTGCCAGCCAAACGGTTGGCACTTAAACCCACCCAGATGCTCTGCAAGACAATGATGTAACAGTCTGCTTCCGTAAAGATTTGCAGCCTTGGAAAACCTATACCAAAAAGTACCAAACTCACTGCCATCGAGTCGACTCTGACCCATAGCGACCTCTCCTTGGGTTTCTGAGGAGGTATCCTGGATTGCCCAGTCTTCCTTCCAAGGAGTGGCTAATGGGTTTAAACTGCCAGCCTATGGGATAGTTCTATTCTGTTCTATAATGTCACTGTGTGAGTCAGAATTGACTAAACAGCAACGGGTCTTGAGAGGACCTTGCCTGGGTGGCGGCTTACAAATAGCCCAAGGCCAAAATGTTTGCATCAAAATACCAAATATCCTTTACCTAAAAAGCTCCTGCAGAAATCCTGATGTGGATTGACAAGAAACTAGTTTAGGAAAGTGGCAGAAGGAGCTAGGAAGTAGTGAGAAGACATATTTCATAGGGTAAACAAGCAAGCACATTGTTTTTCCTCCATTAAGTTTATTTGATCTATTTATGTATCTATTTATTTATTTATTTTTGCTAAAGTAGCCTATTTTATTTTTTCTATTTCTCCTCTATCCAATTTCCCAAAAATAAAATCACTGAATAAAAACCTGGCTAGGGCCAATTTGCTAAAAATTTAAGAAATAGCTATTTTGCTATATTTTTCAAATTTACAAAGGATTGGTTACAAAATATGTATTTTCAAATATATTGCATAAATATGAATGTGTTTATTTTAAATTTACATAAATGTGTTATTTACACATTTTTATGAATATACATTTCTTGCATCCTTGAAGAACATAATAATCTTAAAGGATTATGGTTAAAGGGCACAATGTCTTGAAATGGATTGTCTGGTTTTACATTCCTAGTCTGGGCCATACCAGCCTGAACGCGCCGATCTCGTTTGATCTCGGAAGCTAAGCAGGGTCGGGCCTGTTTAGTACTTGGATGGGAAACCGCCTGGGAATACCAAATGCTGTAGGCTTTTGCCTCTGCTTTCTTGGGAGCTCTGGTAGCATAGTGGCTAAGGCACTTCACTGCTAACCAGAAGGCTGGTGGTTCAAACCCACCAGCCACTCCTCGGAAGGAAGGTTGGGCAATCTACTTCTGTAGTGATACTGCCTGGGAAACCCAAGGAGGGGTCGCTATGAGTCGGGTCTGACTCCATGGCACATAACAACAACAATAGTCTACCAAATACTAGAATATGTCCTGTAGTAAATTTTTCCCAGTACTTTCATTTTCTCATCTATATAATGGTAATAACAATACAATCCTCCGTGGGTTGTAGTAGAGTTTAAATGAGTTAGGATTTTCAGTGCAAGTAGAAGAGTGCCAAGCATAGTTATATATATTCAATAAATAAACCCATACTCTTGGCATGGGTATATACATTCAATAAATCTTATCCTACTTTCATAGTGATACCGCCTCAGAAACCCAAGGAGGGGTCGCTATGAGTTGGGTCCGACTCAACAGCACATAACAACAACAACATTATGATTTAAGTGTTTTTAACTAATGATAATTCGTGATAATTTAATCTAACTGAATATAATCAAGTAGAATATCCCTTAAAGTGAGTTTTGGAAAATGGATAAATTTAGGTAATTTGTCATTTGGTAAATTGGTTTTTAAGAAGTAGATTTTTAGAAAGTTGTCTTTTCTCTTACATATTCTTTTTCAGAGTAGGTCCTTAAATATTTGTGAACAACAATGAAATCTACCACTTTGGAGATTATCTTGTGCTGTTCTAGTAATATACATGTTTTTTGTCAGAGCAACTCTGAAAGATATTTATTACTAGAACCTCCACTTTTTTTTTTTTTTTTTTAAAGTACAATGAAAGGTTAAGGAAATTGTCCAAGGGTTAGACTGATGCCAAAACCATGTTCATTCTACCAAACTCTTTCTCTCAATTTAACATGGTAAAGAATTTATTTTTTGAGACCATTTTTTTTTTCAAAAATCTTAATTTTTTACTTCCCTTCATATATTAGAAAAATTAATTATTCATTGTACAATCAGAACTTTAGTTACAAAATTTAGTTATAACAAGAAAACAAAATTACCCAGTCGGAAATTTAATTTATTGGAACAGTCTTTAACATGATTGTTGTTATTGTTGTTATGTGCCGTCGAGTCGGACCCTACTCATAGCAACCCCTCCTTGGGTTCCCCAGGCAGTATCATTAAGGTAGTAGATTGCCCCATCTTCCTTCCAAGGAGTGACTGGTGGGTTTGGGTAGGTGCTTTTCTCATTATTTTTAAAGGGAAAGCCACGTACAATATAAAATATATAAAGTGCATAATTTTATTATTGCAGGGCAATGACAAAAATAATTTGTAGTTGAGAAAGTAAAAGTAGAATTTTGGGGTTGGATGATCTGAGAATATCCTCATCCTGATGATGACAGGAACATCAGTCTCTGAATTTTAAGCACTTAACAATTAAGGAAGTTAGCAAGGCAGGGTCTCTGAGGAACCTGACACTTGCTTACCCATGTCTTCTTTCATTTTAATTTAAATCAAGTAGAAAGAGCATATGAAAAAGACACTGAGGGAGAAGATGATTAGAGAAACACCCATAATTACTTCTGTCTTCTAGATACTTCAAACATAGAAGTGAAAAACGACTAGACAGATGTAAAGACTTAGCAGGCACTTGCAGAAATTGTATGTGGTTTCATAGCTCTGATATGAGATATGACTGTAGGAAGCAGTATGGGACTGCCTCTCCCTCTTATGTGGTTGTTCTCTCTTCTTTGATGATCTACTGTTGTTACTGCCTTCTCTTTCCAGCCTCCTACTGTGACGATCATCAAAGAACCTTTCTGGAAGCAACCTGATTTAGCTGAAAGAATGTGAGTTTTGAATTCTGAAATTGTCACTTTCTAACTGCATAAGCTTTTCAGAATTTCTTTTCTGAAAAACTGGTAAACATAATCGCAAGGTTGTGAGGAATGAGTGGAGGTATATAATATAAAACGTGTATACATTCTAAGAGCTCAAAAAGTTAGTTTCTAACCGTATCTCCTCAGAAGGAAGGTTGGGCAATTTACTTCTGTAGTGATACTGCTTTGGAAACCCAAGGGGGGGGGGGTCGCCATGAGTCGGATACAATTCGACAGCAGTGGGAGTGGGTAACCGTATCTCCTATTTATAAAGGAACTATGTTTGCATGGATTTATAAGCACTTTACATATCCTAAATCAGATAATAACTGAAATTGAGCATGTGAAATGAATAAACAGAAGCCATTGAAAGAATAAGGTCCTTATACATCAAACATGTGTGAACCTGTTTAGACATAATCTGCTTGGAAGCAAGAATTCTGTCTCACTCTGCTTTTCACAGATGCAATATCTTACTTACTGTCATTTAATTGATTTATCCTAACAAATAATGATTCTTTGAAAGCTGTAATTAGTAGAAAGTTCTCAAGTACTCAAACTTAGACAACAAGACATCCCAATCTCCAGGAGAAAAAAAATAAAGACAATATTAATCTTACCACAAAGACACAAATTCTAGCACCTGCATCCATGGTCATTACTTTCCACCTTTCTTCAATGTTGTCTGGGATGGGTGTATAAATATAAAGGGCAAAGAGAATACAAAACAGTCCGAAACAGAATGCTTTGAACCTCATCTTCTCCCTTTTTCAGCTTCTCCAGAGTCTTGAGGTTAATTTTTTCCAATAAAACTGAATAATGGTGGCAGAGCTAATGTAGATCGAGTATGCTCTCAGAGCTCTGATCATCTTTACTACATGATGTTGATTTTCAATTCAAAAATTTCTGCAACTGTAATAACTTATTTTGAAATAATGATTCTTCAAAACAGATGTTGCAATTTATCAGGTCATGCATGCATTGTTATAAAGTAATTATAAACTCCTACTCTTGGGCAATCTACTTCCATAGTCATACTCCCTTGGAAACCCAAGGAGGGAAAGCTATGAGTCAGATCTGACTCAATGGTAGTGAGTAGTCTTTCTTTACTCTGTAATATCATATCTAAACTCATAATAACTAAACTATTAAGATCTAAATAAGATCCTTAACTGTAGGCATTTTTTATTGATAAATGAGTAAGCTATGAAATAAAATTCTGTGATTGGTTGGTTGTATGTTTTGGAGGGTGTGGTAGTTAAGTTTATATGTCAACCTGACTAGGCCTGGTTGAGTGGCTGGGCAGCTGGATATAGTTATTCCCCATGGTAAGAGTGGTACTTGTCTCCATGGTGGAATGTATTAGAGCAGGTGAGTAGCTGCTTCAGGGATGTGATCTGCTTCCTGTGTATAAGAAACAGCTTTAGGAATGGTCTCCAGTTTATGGCATGCTTGAATCCTGCATGTAGCCATGTCATTGTTCAGCAACCTGCCATGCTCTGCCGACCTTGAGACTTTTCAATGGACTTAAGTTAATGGCCTGCAGTGTGGTTTGGTAACATTGGGACTGTGTCTTTTTACTTGTCAACTTTGGACTTGTTAGTCTCAGCAGCCAGCAGCTGTCTGAATGAAGAAAAGCATCTATCTCCAGTGGGCCAGGAGCAGGAGGCAGAGCTGAACCCCAAGATTGAGGGGCTTTCACCCAGCCCTTAAAGACTGGCATTTTGAACTTGGACTTAAAGCCTCCAAATTGTAAGAATAAATTCCTGTTTTTTCAAGCCATCCCATTTGTGGTATATTTATGTGAGAGTGGTACTGTTGTTGTTGTTGTTATGTGCCGTCGAGTCGGCCCCGACTCATAGCGACCCCTCCTTGGGTTTCCGAGGCAGTATCACTACGGAAGTAGGATTGCCCAACCTTCCTTCTGAGGAGAGTGGTACTAGGTAACCAAAATAGAGGGATTCTGGTGGAGCATTGGTTAAAGCATTTAGATGCTAACCAGAAGGTCAGTGGTTCAAACCTTCCAGCTGATCTGCAAGAGCAAGATAAGGCTTCTGTAATGTCTTTGTGAGTTGAAATCAACTGAATGACTGTAGGTTTAGTGGGTTTGTAAGAAGAGCTTGAAAAAAAAGGTTTAGTTTATATTTAGTCAAATTGCAGTTTAATATCAGTGTCTTACTTATCTAGTGCTGTTATAACAGAAATACCACAAGTGGTTGGCTTTGACAAACAGAAATTCTGATTCTCACAGTTGAGCAGACTGGAAGTCCAAATTCAGAGTGCTTGCTCTAAAGGAAGACTTTCTCTTTCTGTCAGCTATTGGGGAAGATCCTTGTCTCTTTTAGCTTTTGCTTCTGGTAGATCTTGATATGGCTTAAATCTCTCTTCCCCCATCTCTGCTTCTTCTCTCCCCTGCTTATTTTATTTGTTTATTTTTTAATTGTCATCGGGATGAAAGTTTATAGAGCAACTTAATTTCCCAAACAACAGTTCATACACATTTTGTTTCATGACATTGATTACAATCCCCGTAATGTAACAGCTCTCTTACCACTTCTTCCTTGTGGTTACCCTTTCCCTGTGTCCTTCTTTCCAATGTATTCCTGCCCTCTGAGCTGTCTCCCTATACAAATATGCCACTCTGATCTCTCATGGTTGATTTTTCTAAAGTGTGTGCCTACCAAAAAAAAAAAAAAACCTCACTGCTGTCAAGTTGTCAAGTTGTCAAGTTGATTGGATTTATAGTGACCCCTCTTTGGGTTTCTGAGACAGTATCTCTACGGAAGTAGATCGCCCAATCTTCCTTCTGAGGAGTGGCTGGTGGGTTTTAACCACCAGTCTTCTGGTTAGCAGTCAAATGCCTTAGACACTACACCACCGAAGTCTGGTATAAAGGTTCACCTTATATGAATGTGCATTTTTGATTGGAAGCTAGGGGACTGAATTTAATTCCAGGTCCAATGCATGAGTAGGGGCCATAGGTTTGGGGGTTTCACCAGAATTTATCAGACCAGTAAGCCTGGGCTTTTTCATGACTTTCAATTTCGTTCCACATTTTTCTCCCACTCTATCCAAGATCTCCTACACTGATCCCTTTTGGAGTAGTTGACAGTACTAGCCGGGCACTATCTAGTTCTGTTCTCATAGTCATGTAGGCTGACGTTCACATGGTCCACTAGTCCCTTGGACTAATTGGTTCCATGTGTCTTTGGTTTTCTTCATTCTTCTTTGCACCAGATAAGGAGAGACCAATTGTATTTTAGATGGCCACTTGCAAGCTTTGTAGAATTTGTTAACCACTTCATAACGTTGATAAACTTGGAGGGCAATCACAAAAGGACAAATATGGTATTGGTCCACTACTGTAAAAAGTCAAGGAAAGGTTTACATATAAAAGGAAAATATGTTTGTTGGTTACCATGGATGGGAGAGGAGGGGAGAGAAAATTGCTAGATAAGTAAGAGGTAAGTATTAATTTGGGTTAAGGGAAAGGCAATATACCAAAAGTGAGTGACCAACACAATAACACTAAAGAAAAGGAAGGCAGACAGGTGCATAAGAGGTACAAACAACAAAGATAAACACTTTTTTTTTTTTTAATTGTGATTTGGGTGAAAGTTTACAGAGCAAATTCATTTTCCATATAACAGTCCACATGCACTTTGTCTCAAGACTTTGACTACAATTTTACCCCAATGCAACAGCTCCCCTCCCACTTCCTTCTGATAGTTACCTCTTCCCTTTGTCCATTTCTCCATGTACTCCTGCCCCCTGAGCTGCCCCATGTGCATAAAGAGCCCTTCTTTCTCCCATGATTGTTCTTTCAAAGGAGTATATCTACCTCATATGTGTTCAACTCATATGCCTGTCTTTTGTTTGGCTGGAAGCCACAGATGTGGGTTCAATTCCAGACCTAAAGGGCAGCTAAAGACCATAGTCACAGGGGTTCCACCAAGCTCTATCAGACCAGCAAACCTGCCCCCCCCTTTTTTTTCAAATTATTTTGAGTTTTGTTCCACATTTTTCTCCCTCTCTATCCAGGATCTCCTACATAGATCCCCCTATGAGTGGTTGTCAGTGGTAGAAGGGTTATTCTGGTCTCATAGTTATCTATGCTGCAGCTTGCACAATATACATGTTGCTTGGACTAATTGTTTCCATGAGTCTTTGGTTTTCTTCACTCTTCTTTGCTCTGGACGAGGAGAGACCCATTGTTGCATCTAGATGGCTGCTTGCAAGCTTTTAAGATCCCAGTCACTACTCACCAAGTAGGAGGTGGAACAATGTTTTGTGTAGTATGTTGGTCAATTGAGCTTGATGTCCCTGTGACTATGGTCCTGAGCCCATGGGGTCAACTTTTTACTCCCTCTGGGTAGCTGGCTGTGGTCAAGAAGTGACTACAATCTTGTCCCTTGTCAGCTCTACTACACACCTGGGAATTTTTACAGAACATACAAAGACACTTGTAGAACCATTGTCTGCTAACCCTATACATGGTCTTGGGTACACTCCCCATTGCATAGACATACCTAATAGTTCAGCCTGTCCACCCATCTATCCATCTGTATATCAATGTCTGCCTTCACTGACAACACAGTACTGTATGTGCAAAAGGGTTCATCTTTGTTGCCTGTATCTTCCATATACCGCTATGGCTTTCTCTTCCTCAATGCCACCATGTTGTTCACTCACATTTGGTACATTGCCCTTCTCTTCACCCAAATCAATACTTATCTCTACCTATCTAACAGTATTTCCTACCCTCTCCTCTCACCCCTGGTAACTAACAAAGAAAATTTCCTTCCATATATAAACCTTTCCTTGACTTTTACAATAATGGGCTAATACAATAATTGTGCTTCTGTGATTGTATGTTATTCTATACAACATAGATTCTATGTTATTCTTTAGGGTTTCATAGTATTCCATTTTGTGTGTGTATCATAGTTTGGTTATCCATTCCTCAGCCAATGAACACCTAGATTGTTTCCATCTTTTGGCTATTGTAAATAACACTGTGATGAACATGGATGTCCACATGTCTGTTCTTGTCATGACTTTCACTTCTTTAGGATATATACCTAGTAATGGAATGACTGGGTCAAATGGTATTTCTAATTCCAACTTTTTAAGGAATCACCATACTGCTTTCCACAATGGTTGTACCATTTTACAATCCCACCAGCAGTGTATGAGAGTCAAAATCTCTCTGCATCCTACCCAACACTTGTTATTTTTTGTCTCATTGAAATTCCCTACTCCTGTAGGGCAAGATGGTATCTTGTTGTTTACATTTGCATCTCTCTAATGGATAATTGAATAGCTAATGATCATGAGCACTATATCATATGTTTGTTGGCCGCCTGAGTATCCTGTTTGGTGGTCTATTCATATATTCTGCCCATTTTTAATTGGATTATTTGTCTTTTGTTGTTGAGGTGTTGGAGTTTTATATACATCTTAGAGATAAGTCCTTTGTCAGATATGTTATTGCCAAATATCTTTTCCAATCTGTAGGTTCTCTTATGACTCTTTTCGGAGAAGTTTTTGGAAGCACATAAAAATTTAATTTTTAGAAGGTCCCAATCGATCTGGTTTCTCTTCTGGTGTTTGTGCATTTTGAGTTATGCTTGCGAGTCTATTTATGCCATATATTCAGGCCCCTAAATTTGCCCTTAGTTTTTCTTTGGGAAACTTTATAGTTTTAGGTTTCACATTTAAGTCCTTGATCCATCTGAAGTTAGTTTTTGTGTATGGT